GTCAGAAACAATTTTCATTTCCAGATGGCCAAAGGTTTAGAGATAGTTCCAAGCCAAACTTGACCCGGATGTATAGCCCAAAGGTGCCAAAGGTCTGGTGTAAGGGAGATGCTGAGGTGTTACTTGGATGCTAGGAATGGTTGCAAACACTTATCCCTTTGACAGCAAACAGGATGATCTGAAGTTGGTTCCTGGGACATGGGCTTTGTGTCCTGAGGAACATCCATCTCATTCTTTAAACACTCAAGACTGATAACCAGGGCCTGCCGTAGGTCTTTTCTATACATCTCATCAGAGAGGGTGGCTGATGTCCAGGGAACATAAGGTCACAGATCAGAATCCTTGGTCACCATAGCAGGAAACCCCTCTAAAACAAAGACAAGAAAATGAACAGCATGTGGTATCTGAAACAGAATTATTGGAAATTATGGTCACATTCATACATACACCCATAAAGGAATACAATACAGCAATACAGTAACACAGTACACACTCCAACATGGATAAAATCTACACATTTAATATTGAGTAAAGAAGGCAAACTCAGCAAGACACATAGAGTATATTTCCATTCATGTAAAGTTTAGAAAGCAGAAAAAAACTGTAGTGTTTAGGGATGTGTGGCTAAGTGGTAAAATATAAGGAAAATAGAGAGCCTTGCCAGAAAAGTCTAGGTGGTGATTATCTTGAGGAGAGAGAAATGACTGTGTGTCTGTAAATGTTCCACTCATTGGCCTAGACCACAGTTAGAGGCTTTAGAGATAATTCACGGGAACAGCACATTTTTGTTGTCTGTAGTTTTCCAGGTGTCTGATCTATATCAAATGAAAAACTTAAGTAACACACAGACCAAAATAACTATTCACATTTTCAAGAATGCATACAAACAAAAGAAACAATTACATTGCTTTTTTTGGAGGATGGATAGCAGCAGAGGTTAGAGGAAAACAAATGAATTGATCAATGGTGTTTAAACTCCATAGTTGAAGATTATGAATACTTCTGTCTCTGAATCTGAGGCAATAGATTGAGCTAAAGAAAAACATAAATATAAAAATTAAAAATCAATTTTAAGAATTGTGACATGGTTCAAAATTCAAGTGCTACAATAGGGCTTAAGTGGAAATTAAGTCTTAGTTCCAATGTGTGAAGACATCTCCTCTCCAAATTACTTCTTGTGTACCCTTCTTTGAGGATGTTTAGTAGGGGTAAGAATGGGTGAATCAGAGAGGTCTGGGGCTGTAAACGTGAGCGTCACTGGGGGACAGTGAGGCCAGGCTGGAGCATGGTGGCCCCCAATCCAGTTCCCTCCCTCTAGGGGACTAAGATGCAGGGTTGGTGTCAAGGTGATGGGTCACTAGGAGGGACCAGAAAGCTGGAACAAAAGTTCCCAGATGAGTTGGAAGGGCAGTTCCCCAGAGGCCCCCAGGTCATCCTGACTTGCCGGAGGCCGAACCGGCAGGTCCAGGGGTCCCTGAAGGATGGACGGTGTCGGCGAGAGAGAGAGAGAGAGAGAGAGAGAGAGAGAGAGATGCCCCGGGATTCTTTCTGATCACCAGGCACGCATCTCTGTCCTGTCGGTTTTTGTGTCTTTATTTAAAGGTTCAGCAACAAGATGAAGTCAGAGAAAGGAATTTCTTACAATGGGAGGCCTTTTGTGATAGCAATAGTAGAATTATTCCGACCAAGGAAATCACAGAATGTTCTTAGTGAAAAATAGGATAACTTATAGGTCAAATTGTATACAGATAAGCTAGGAGTATTTTGTCCGGCTCTCAAGAGGATGAATGTTTCTGAATTGGTTTGTTTGTGGAGACTATCATGGGGGCCCTGAATGGGTCAGTCTTTTGCCCCTGGCTTATGTTTTAGCTACTGTTATCCATCCTCATCCCAGCTGCCAGTGTAAGAGAGGGTGTTTGTGGAAAGTAGGCCTTGAGGAAGGGACTGTTGTTTCACCAATTAGCAAAGATCGATGTGGTAACTATGTTTTGCTCTTAACCCCAAAATAGGCCCTTAGTCTCAGGGCCAGGCTCAGTTGTAATTCTTGTGTTCTTAACCCCCTAAGTCTCAGATCTGCAAGGCCCATAGGAAGAGCCTTTTGACAATCACCCATAGAGCTTTCATCTAAAATCTCTTTTGTAAAGGCAGGAATATGCTTTTCCTTATGAGGTATCTGTTTTCAGAATATGGGTCTGATATGGAATATTGTGAGGCCTGGTCAATACCAGCAGGCTCATTTCCAACATGAGCCAGTAGTAGCAGAAGGAGATCCCAGTTTTCGTTTCTCATGGCAGGAGCTGTGCACACACTGCCATTTCCGTGCTGTGACTGCCACCCAGAGAGGCCGGTGCGGCTCCCGGCACTGACTTCCCAATTGGACCAGCCTTTCTGCAGCAGAGCTCACATCATGGCCATTGTCTCCCAGGCAGACTTCTGCACTGAGGAAGGAGGAAGGTCATTAAAGATTTTATAGGAAGACAGCAGTCACAGGGATGGGTGTTTGCCTAGTCTCCTGCCGGCAGGCTCATTCTGTGGCAGTCACCACCATGAATCTAGACAGTGGGGACCCTATTGGACCCAGGCACCCACTGAGATGGCAGGGTGAAGCTCAAGAGTGGGGCTAAGGTCAGGACTCAGCGTTCTGACTCCAGTCTCCCCGCAGGGGCAGGTGACAGTACTGAGCCCATTTGCTCTGTGTCCTCTCGTCTGTCACCATGGAGCATTGCCCCTATCTCCCTCCTGGGCTCCAGTAAGGACCCAGTGTGAAGAAGGGAGTGAGATGGCCTCGCTCCCTGGACTTTGAGCCCAAAGTTGCCCCAGAGGTTCAGTTGAGGGATTAAGAGGTTTGGACTCAAGCTTACTGTCTACCAGTTGTGTAATCTCAGTTTACTTAAAATCCTCTTAAACCTTGTTTTCCCTCCCTAACATGGAGACAACAGACCTGTCTTATAGGATGGTGAGGATTAAGGAGGAAAGCAGGTACAGCAGGTATCTTAATGCCTGACACATTTAAGAGCTCAGTAAGCAGGGGTAATAGTGTTAGTTCTCAAAGCAAATCTGTAGAAAGGCGGGTGATGAGCAAACACAAACCATGCTACCTCCCGAGTCTGAAATCCCACCCTCTTGAGGTCCAGAAACCCAGTTTTCTCCATCCTACTCCCTGTCTTGTTGTGACATGTCCCACTGGTCTCCAGCCCTAGATCAATTTGAGGAAAGGAGAGGCTCTGGGTGGAGTTCCTTGGAGGTGCAAGACCTGGTAGCCTGGGATTCTGCTAGGAAATGCTGAACACACGCTCCTAGGTGTGTGTCCACATCCGAGTTGGCCAGAGCTCCAGGATGCAGGTAGGAAACATGGCCCCAGGGCCCCCAGCCCTTGGAAAGAACCAGGCAAGCCCCATAAAGGGACCAGTCTTCACCCAGGTGTGCACATCCCACTCATCCTCCTCAGTGACGCCTCCTCTGCTCTGGTAAGTCTGCACTTGCCTCTTTGCCTTTTCTGAGAGGGGTGCTCAGGGCCTGCAGGAGCAGTCAAAGCAGCTGTGGGAGAGGATTCAGGAGCATGGATGTAGTCACAGCATGGCCACCAGAGGGGCTGTGTGGCCTTCCCTCCAGCTTGAGGTCTTTGTGTCTCTGCACAATAAGACAGCTGGACCAAACACTCCCCTTGTTCCTTTCGGCTCCTCTGAGACAGTTCTTGTGGAAACATCCACAGTGGGAGCTGAGGACATGACTCTCTCTCTCCTCTTTGTATTCCCTCCTCTCTGGGGTCACCTGCCTGCCATGCCCTGGCTTGGTGGAGACCCACTCTGCACCCCAATTTTGGGGAAGAGTAGGTGCCCCTACCAAAGCCTTTAAGGCCTTCCTAACCTGGGACCTACACCCCTACTAGCCATTTCCCTCATGAGATGTCCTACGCCTGTGTGGGGAAGGGACTGATCAACCAAAACCTCCCACCTGCACTGCATCCCGGGAAATGCCCAGTTACCATCTGGTTACAGGGCTCAGCTCTGGTCTTGGGTGGTTCCACTTAGTGACAGAACAGCTTTCTCTTGCATCTTTCTCCCACATCAGGAGGTGATGGTGGTTTGTATTAGATGCTCACATGTATAAGCCAAGCTTATTTTCTGGGTGCTTTGGAAATTCTGGGATGTGAAGGCAGCACTGTCCAACTTTTCTGTCTTGGGAGTCAGTCTAGTCCAGACCTCTGACTATTGGTGGGAGAAACTCCTTCAGGAAGTCAGATCCTCTCTTTACTTAAACATGGTCTAGACTTGGATGTTCAGACAGCAGGGAGGTCAAAGGACAAGTTATCCTCAATAACAGACAATCCCCAGGAATCCATCTCTCCTCATCCACCCAGTAGCCTAAGAACCAGGGTAGGTATTTCTGTTCATTTTAAACCTGAAGCAAACTTTGTCCCCCAGTCCTTCTTTCTTACTCTTGGGGATGGTCTGGGACAGAGCTGTGTTCTTTTGCTTACACTCACACTCATGTCCAGAAGTTTCCACAGACTATATGGTCACGTCGGGTTTCAGGGAGTCTTGTTCCTGAAGCATCTTAGGAGAGTCTGAGCCAGATTAACAGTGACACTGTTCTTCCCCATCACTCTCATCCTGACGTTGGTGCTGGGGGAAATGGATTTGATGTTATTGGAAGTGTGAGGTCATCTAAATGCTGTGTTTTGCTCAAGGCCCCACTTTTTCAGGTGGCTGACCCCTAACCCCTGCTTCCCCAGTCTGTGGCCCTACCCACATTTGGACTTCCATGTTCTCCTTCATCTCCTCTTGGACCCTGATGCATGTGACCCAGCCCAAGACATGGCCGCACCCTTCTTTTATGGCATGTGTCCCAACATGCAGAGAAATAGTTTCTTCTTCTCCACCTGAGCCTTCTTCATTTGCTCCCCTGTCCCCATCCCATCATCCTAAACATAGAGACTTTTCTCACCTGGAAAAGGAAAAATGAGTCGTTGTCTTTCTGGCAGCTGTTTGAAAGCCGAGATGAGCAACACACAAGCTGAGAAGTCCATGATGGGCATCACTGAGCTGTTTCACAACTACACCACGCACCATGACACCATCAACAAGCCAGCCTTGCAGAAAATGCTCCAGGAGAATTTCCCCAACTTTCTCCAGGCCTGTGTGAGTCAGGCTCTGGCTTGTCTGGGTCAGGGAGAGGCTTTACCGTGTGTGTGGAGGGGGGTGCAATGGGTGGGCAAGCCCCATGGGCCTTGACATATCTGAGGACTCTTTTCTGGGAGGCAAACTCACTCTTTGATATTGGGTGTTCCTGAGCCTCATTCTGCCTCCCTGCTCCCTCCTTTCCAGCCCCAGGCAAGACTAGCCCTTTGAGGAGACAGAATGCAGGACAAGGGGTCTGGAGCTTGGAATCAGAAGCCCCTGCCATTGGGGTTTTTCTGCTGTGTGACTCTGGACAAATTACTCACACTCTCTGATCTTTCCTTTCTTCCCATCCAAAGAGGGTATAATATACTTTTTTTTTTTCTTGGCTAGTGTTAGAACAAATGAGAATATGTAAGTGGAAATACTTTAAAAATAGCAACATGTGATATAGATATGAAGGAATCCCAATAGATGATCAGTTGAAGTACTGTGATTTCAGGGGTAGTATACAGTCTTCCTGTTCAGCAGAATTCTTCTCTCCAGAAAACTCATTCCTCTGGTTCAAGTGGAGCCTCATCAAGATGGAACTCAATAGAAATCATAATACTGTTGATATGAACATAGCCCTTTACATTAGGCTAAACTTATTCTACACTGGGTTTTATTATACTGTTTGAATGCACAGCACTTACTAGCTAAATGTAGCAGACAGCTGGGCCCCAGGGAAAGGGAACCCAAAGAAGTTGGGATGGGAGGAAAGTAGCAGCATCTGAAAACCCAGCCTGTGCTAAGGGAGAGTGTAGATAGTGCACATAAACAGGGATTGGTGGGAGGGCCCTGGGGCTGACAAAGGTCACCTGTCTCCTTCACCCGTGTGGTTAAAGGTACAGACTGCTCAGAATCCCCATGATGCACCCGTGAGTTTCTCACTGATGAATCTCCAGGCAACAGCTCCAGGACCGTGGCCATGCTTGCGGCGCCCCGGCCCCACACGCCCTCTCACTAGGTCCCCACCTCAGGGCGCCTCTTTTCTCTTTATTCCAGCCCAAATCTCATGTGTAATGGGGTTTTTCTTGTTTGTTTTTTTTTTTTTCTCTCTCCACAGGACAAAAAGGGCACAGATTACTGGGTCAATATCTTTGAGAAGAAGGACAAGAATGGGGATAAGAAGATTGAATTTTCCGAGTTTTTGTCCTTGCTGGGGGAAATAGCCATGGACTTCCATCAGCAGAGCCACAGAGCCGCCCCTTGTTCTGGGGGAAGCCAGTGATCCAGCCCTGCCTGAGGCCTCTGGAGACCCAGAGAAACAATAAAGTCCTTCTTTCCACCAGAGACTTGCGTTACGATCTCCTTTTCTTTTGTTTTTCTTTCTTTTTTTTTTTTTTTAACAAATAGTTTATTGTCAATTTGGTTTCCCTATAACACCCACTATGTCCTTTTCTTGGTGTGTGTATCTTACAGTAAACAACTGTTGGTTAGATCCTCCAGTAGATGCCAACTTTCTCTCCAGCAAATGCTTAGTCCCAGAGGACTCCCTCCAGTGCCCTGAGACCTGACTGAGTCACCGTCTGTTGGATCTCGAGACTCACCTGTGTCTCCAGAACACCTGGAACCGGGTGTTCTGCACAGCTTGCTGTAGTCCAGACAACAGCTCTTGCTTGTTTCCCAGACTATTTCATGACTGGGGTGGAGCAGTGGCCTGAGCACTGGATTCCTGTGCTGTGACCAGGGCCCTGCCCCTGTGTCTATGTGCTTGGAGTAGCGTGAGCGGACACACCCTCTTGCTCTCAAATGTGGCTTGCTGAGTGCCCCACATCCAGCTGGGTGCTGGAGATGTAGGGGCAAATGTGGGGGAGGGGCCCTTATAACACACAGGGGCACTCACGGAGGGATAGAGGCTAACGTTCAAGCTCCAGATGAGGGCGCAGGAAGCAGATGGCTTGTGGTTCTCATTCCCGAGTCAGGTGCTGTGGAAGTAAAGATGCAGAAATAGAAGTGGTGTGGTGGCTGCTCCTCCCCAGAAAATGCCCATTTTCTTGTGGCTCCTCCACTGGGAGTTGTTAACCCTCCCCAGTCTTATGCCCTTCACACCCTTCAAGCCAGAGGAGAGCCAGCGTTCGTTGTCCCCATTTTATCCCCATCCTGCCACCGTCAAACACCCTCCTTTCTTACCGGACTCACCCTTTCCTGGTGCGCAGAGGGAGCTGACACTGGATTATGTCGCCCTTCCTATCTTACCAGGAGCACATATATGGAGTGAGCTCACAGTCTGGGGCCAGAAATAGAGACTAAGTGGGGTCTTGTGTGAGTGATTATTGAGGGAGGCCCATCAGGTGAAACCTGACAAGCAGTGAGGGGGCAGCAGGGGGCTGGGAAGAGGCTACAAAAAGGCGTGAGCTCAGCTTCAGCCTGACCCTCTCGAGGGCTCTGAGGCATGAATGAAGTTATACAGCTGCCTCCCATTGAGGCAGAGCCCCACCTTTTGTTTCCCTGTGTGAATTACTCACCAGCTGCAGGCCACTCCAAGGGAGCACATCCTGCTAGGTACTCTTGGGCCTGGAGACCCCTCTGGAGCAAGAGCAAGCCTTAGGGGAAGGGGAAGCCTTCCTGATGAGAGCTGGGTGACAGGCAATGGGCATCTGGCCAGGGAGCAGGTGTTCTGTCCAGCTTGCAGAGAGTGGGTGGGGCATCACAGCATCTGCTTCTTCCCACCCCTTACACCCACTCAGATCCATCTGGTTCTCATATCAAGTTCTTCTCAATTAAGAACAGATTGTCTGGTTCTAGACAACTGTCATTTCTGGGCAATTTATGAGGAGGGTGTGTAGACTACTATGGCCCTCACTGCTGTAGTTGTTATGAGGTCTCCTCCTCTACCACCCTTTCTAGATTTCCTTCCCAGTGACTTGCCCTTCTGCTAGTCTAGGTGGCTTGCCGGGGGGGTGGGGGGGGGGGTGAGGCAGACCATCATTCCTGAGGGATGAGGGCTCCTGGTTACCATGTCCTTATCAAGCTTTGGTTGCTATGTTTACCTATTCACAGTTAAAACTGGACGTAGGAGGGTCACCTGGGTGGCTCGGTCAGTTGAGTGTCCGACTCGTGATTTTGGAACAGTTCATGTTCTCACGGTTCATGAGATCAAGTCCCGCATCCAGCTCCGTGCTGACAGTGTGGATCCTGCTTAGGATTCTCTCTCGCCCTTTCAGTCCCTCCCCTGTTTGTGCTCTCTCTCTCTCAAAAGAAATAAACAAACTTTAAAAACAAACAAACAAACAAACAAAAACTGAACATAGGAATAACAATAGATATCCCAGTATATTACCTGTGGGTCAGAAATATTCCTCTCTGCCCTGATTATGCAGCAGCAGCCATACATGGTAATCAGGATCATTTGTCCTTATAACAAAGTTATGTTTTATTTTTGCCTGCTGGAGTACAGGGACTCCTATGTGCCCAGGCAGATGTAAATGGTCCTGGGTTCCTTTGGGAAAAAAACTGGGAGAATCATTACTGTGTCTACTTGCTGTGGTGTTACAAGGTTTCTTTTTTTTAATGTTGATTTATTTTTGAGAGAGAGACAGAGTGTGAGTGGAGGAGGGTCAGAGAGAGAGGGAGACAGAATCTGAAGCAGGCTCCAAGCTCTGAGCTGTCAGCACAGAGCCTGATGTGGGGCTTGAACTCACAAACAGTGAGAGCAGACCTGAGCTGAAGTCGGACACTTTACCAACTGAGCCATCCAGGCACCCCACAGGGTTTCTTTATTGGGCCAGGTCACTCTTTCAATTGATGGTTTCTGAGTCTGAGAACTGGCCCAGGTATGGAAACTGGGCAAAGATAGTACCTTTCCATTGGGAGGCTGATCTCAGCCTTCTCTTATCCATTTTTAATTTCTTTTGATTATATATATTCAGCAATACCCTTGTTGGCTGTTTCAGACTTAGAAGGAGCACAATCCAGAAGACTGCCTTCATTTTTGGTGCCAGCAGCAAGTTTGTGGATCTCTGAGTCCACTCTGAACTTTGATAATTCACTGGAAGGACTCAGAACTCACTGAAAGCTCTTGTATTCATGGTTATCATTTATTAGAGGGAAAGGATGCAGATTACAATCATCCAAGTAGGAAGAGACACATAGGGCAGAGTTTAAGAAAGTTCCAAGCATAGGGTTTCCAGTTGCCATCTTCCCCTGGAGTCATGGAGAATGTTACTCTCCTGGTGATGATGTGTGGCAATACACATGGATGATACACTTTGCCAACAAAGGAAGCCAACAAAGGAAGCTCACCCAAGTCTTGAGTGTCCAGGATTTTTCCTGGGACTCCATGACTGACTGACCATGTGATTGGTGTCAGTCTCTACTCCTTCCAGAGGTCAAGCTCATACTATGTGACTCAAAGTCTACATAATAAATTATGTCATTAGAGTTTCTGGAATGGTCCACAGTCCCAAGATAAACAAGGAAACTCTCCTCAGGCATGGTATTCCAAGGGTTTAGAGGTTACTTCTAGAGGTCCAACAGCAAAGACTCATCCGTCCTTGGGCAAGACTAACTTTTTTTTTTTTTCTCACACTGATGCCCATCTATCTTGTTCCTAGAAACACCATGTTGTCTTAGCCATCTCTATAGGTCGCTGTGGATCATGTTTCCTGGTGGCCAATCTGATCTGACTGCCCACTATGGCATCACACCCCATGCTTCCTAATGGTAACGTGCTGTCATCTGGCCTATGCTACTCCAGTTTCCTGTTATCTCCATTCCAACCAGGGCACTCAGTTCTGTATCAGGATCTCCTACAGCCAAACCTTGCCTACAGGGGCTTTGGGAGCACCTAGAAAAGTGCTGAGTGGACCCTGAGGATGCTGGATCAGGGGAATGGAGTAGGATCCAGGGACAGTTTATTGATATGGGCACATTCTCTAATGACACAGGATTTAATACCATTATTTTGGGTGAAGAAACAGGGCTTGAGACGTAGCTGCCAAGTGAGGACTATGGCTGTGAGTCAGAGGAGTTCATTGTGGAGGTGAGTTTTGAGATATGTCTTAAAGAATGAGCAAGACATCTCCAAGCAGAGACGAGGGGGATGGGAATTCCAGATGCTGGGGCCAGTGTGGGCAAATCCACGGAGTATTAGTATTGTGGGAAACAAAGGCAGAAGAAAAAAATTAAATTTCCTTACTGTGAGAAGTAAGCGAGACGATTCATTTTCAGAAGAACCAAATAAAAGCTGTGCTGTCTAATTAATATCATGTTTACAAGCTATTGGAAAAACCCATTGGAACCCGTCCCCCACTCCACCACCACAAGGGAGTCCGAAACCCTTAGACACTTCACTTCTTGGTTCTTCCCCTCTCCGTTTTGCGGGCTTATTTTCATGGACGTTGCAATGAGTATGAGCCAAAGAACTGAAGTCTCTATGTCACCTCAAGGAATGTACATTTGTTCCAATCAGACTACTTTTTGTCTTACATGGGCATAGGAGGCCTCCGGGTAAGGCTGTAATCTCTGTAGTACTCAGCCAAGGGGGAACCAGGGGAGGGCCTTCATGCTAGGAGATAGATTTCCTGCTGTAACTGCCCTGAGTGTGTCTGTCCATCAGACACCTGCTCTTGCAAGGGCATTGATTAAAGCCTCGCTTCACTGTGCTCCGAGTCTCCATGGTCCCTCCTTTCATTGAGTCAATGGGCTTACTTCTCACACTTACTGTCTACAGACCCCTGACAAGTCCTTGAGACAGGCAGAATGACCTTCTAGGAATCAGTTGTCTCAATGATGACACTTTGCTCAGGGCAAAAGGCAACCTTAGCTTAACATTATCCCAACCCCCAGGATCCTGTAAGTTTACTTTAACAGATAAAAATTCCTTTGGAAGCTTCCTTTATTACCTGTACCCCCAAAGATATATGTTACCAAGCATCCTCCAAGCATATGGCCGGCCCCCTGATACACACTGAAGAGTCTCACGACTGAACTTCTACTAAACAGTAATAAATGACCTTTTCTAACAACAGCCAGCCCATCAAGGTCCTAGAAACCATGCTTCCAAAATTCCTTAGAGACTTATGCTATCTCTAACTTCCTTCCAACCTGAAGGTATATAATGAGTCATTCTTCACAACTTCAGTGCAGCTCTTTCTGCCCCCGGGTCCTGTCCCCATGCTTTGATAACACCTAGCTCAACAGTAGCTAGGCCTCCAGGGTCCTGTGAGTCTCCCCACCCCCCCTTCTCTCTCCTCCTCCTCCTCCTCCTCCTCCTCCTCCTCCGACACT